AAATTCTGTTGTATTTCCAAATAAAACTATATATAAACCAAACAATGTAGACAAATAAATTTAAAATAATATCTACATTTTAGGTTTGTGATTAAAGAAGCACATGACTAACACAATTATGATTAGAATATTTCCTAATTTTACGAAATAAATTCGAACATCTATGAGATAATCAATTCGCGTCTGATGTGAATTATTATGATGAGGCAGAAATCGTAAATTGAATTTGGTTACAACGTAATGAGTTCTTGTCGGCCGGATCCCAAGCTTATGTACCTTGATCTTAAATACGATCACGTACTGTTCACTTGATTTATGTACACCGACTACCTGCAATATAACTGATTACCGACTTGAAGCCGAAATTTTGTTTGGCGAACCCCTAACGGATCGAGCCGTAGGTAAAAAGGGACTATAGACTGACATTTTCGTTCAATATTCAATGTAATGTGGGAACATGTTTTCGGATAATGTTGGAATATACATACTTAACTTACATAGTTGAGAGCGCTACTCGTTTTATTTTCACAAAAAGCCGAATTTGTACGATTTTTTCTTTGTTCTGAATGTTAACTGCATTTTATCATGTGACAATGATTGTTTTACATTTAAACCTGCGAATATAAAAGTCATTGTGTCTCTATATAGCACCAACATAACATATGATATTAATATATTGTTTGCGCATTACTGACAAAATAATAATACTATAACTAAATACTAAAACGTGTTTTTTTTGTTCTCCTATGACGCAATGACCCAAAGTGAGTGAAATTCAACTTTTGTTTCTTTAGTTGATAATTCTATTTCCCTTTTAGATGTTCTTGGACTCCGAGACATACAGATCACGGTACCGGAGGCGGTGGGCGTGGGCACTAACGCGGTGTTGGGCTGCCGCTGGGCGCTTGACACCGGCGAGGCGCTTTACACCGTCAAATGGTATCACGGTGCTCAAGAGTTTTTTCGATTCGTGCCAAAGGAATTGCCTAATACGAGAGTATTCTCACAAACCGGTATCAACGTGGATGTAAGTTAATTGTTGTAATCTATTGTCCACTTTTAGATGTTTTTTATGTTTTTTCCTGAGTTTATTAAAATAAGAAAAACACACGAATTTTAAAAGCAATTATTCTAAGCTTGGAATGTAATAGTAGAATAATAGAATAGATAGAATCTTGATCGAAACATGACAGCTTTGTTTTAAGATTATATCTAACTGATATTATAAATGCAAAAATTTAGATGAATGGATGTTTGTTAGAGTTTGTAGCATAAACGGCTGAACGGAACTCAATGAAATTTGGCATAAACGTAGAGCATAGTCTTGAAGAACACATAGGCTACTCACTTTTGTTTTTTTTTGCTAAATTCCACGCGGACGAAGTTGCGGGCGAAAGCTAGTTTAATTTTTTTTTAAAGTAAATAACAATAACATTTTATCTTTACTTTTGGTGTAAGGATCACAGAGCGGAATGTCGACGTCAATTATGTGAAGCGTATTACACAAATTTTCCATCCTTTCCTGTTTCCCATTTTTAATGTCAGAGTTAATTCTATCATTTGAAAGCAAAATGAAATATTTACATTGAAGACATTAAATAATGACAAGTGTTAATGTTCATCTTAATTACCGAGTAAATGAAATAAATTGTGTAGAATTATAACCCTCATTTGATTTAATCTACGTGTTTTGAAAGAAAATATCTACATAAGTTATATTTTATTATTGAATAAGTACTCTATAAATTCTAAGTGCAACTCTTTACTCGACTCGCCTTTTAATAGACCTTAGCAAATATAAAACATGCAAATAGAAATGTTTCCTGCTTCAATGAAACTTGTGCGTTACATTTTAATGAAGCAAAAAGTTGGAGCAAATACAAAACTGTTTACTATATCAAACAATATTAAAACGTATTCAAAACATGTTGTACAAGTTTTACAATAAATCGTCCATTATTAATTGTTTTTACTCACAAAATTCCTCCATAAAATCATAATTCTATTTTTAAAAATTAACATGTAGTTGTATAAGTGTGTCAGTAAGAACTCGCACACATCTTTGACTAAATTTTCACATAACTGTTTAGTCGCGCTTTCATATAAAAATAAACTATCGCACAACAGTTGTGCGATAGTTTATTCAAAGTCAATATAACATTTTGTAGGTAATGTATGTATGTACAGGTGTCGAGATCAGGTGCTCAACAAGTTGTGCTGCGCGAGGCGACACGAGGCCTGAGCGGCCGCTACCGATGCGAAGTATCCGCAGACGCGCCTTTCTTTCACACCATCTACAAGAGCGCATTTCTACGTGTTATAGGTTTGTCTTTCATACAAAGAACAAGTTGGTTACTTGATGATAGACGTCCGTTAACCATAGATATCTAATACAATATTTAATGACTCCCCTATGGTTAAATTGCAATGGGTAGTAATAAATTAAATTACGATTTCAATCGCAATCAAAATAAACCTTTTCGTTAATCAAGTTTGTCATTTGATTTTTCGAAAAGGAAATTAGTATTACGGCTGGTTCGGACAGTTTCTACGGTAAATTAAATGTTTCAAACTTGCCCTAGATTGTATCCGCGCGAACGTATAAATAACACGAACAATCCCATCGAGCCTTTGTACAACCCTAATCGTAAATCAGAACTATTGGTTGGCAATAAATACGGGCATGGAGCAATAGAGATGTTGAATTAGGGTTTATCTTGTTTAACAATCGTTTTTGAATTAGCGTTATATAGTAGATTAACCACACACGTTACTATTAATATAGGCTTTATAACTTTCTACAAAGCTGACTCAAAAATACATATATTTAATTAAATTTAATTTAATAATTGTAGTTACTTCCTATCCTTCGACCATCAATGGTACGTTTACGTGTATTTTGTTTTACCATGTTTTATTTCTAAACATGATGTTAGTAGAATGAAGAATATTGACGAGTTAGCAAACATTTGGTGGAGGAGAGAATTAATGAGTTGTTCCAAAACTCGACGTTTTCATATCGTAGTTGGAGCGTTGAAACCCCACGGTGCGGGCGAACAAACACTTGAAAGTTTTCTCTACTAGCTTCACCGTAATAGAAATCGTAGAGAACTCAAACCGCGACAAGCTCTTACTTCGAACGCTTAGTTCCTTGATTGTTGAATAAATTACTCTAAACAAGAATCACGACACTAACAAAAGCCAATATTTTAGTAAGTACTTTTAATATTGATGGTGCAACAAGGCAAACGATTAGTCACAAAAAAATCTTTTAGAAGTAGACTTGTCTATCTTTTACATTTAATTTCGTTGGTATTTGAGCGTAATTGTCCCGTGAAGCCACCGAGGAACCTCTACCAAATAACATCCCTAGCTAAGGTTCCCGAGGGAGCGTTCGGATTTCAAACTTAGTTACACTTAAAGTGGTTTTGACCGAGGTACTTTCGCGCTCTGAAACGTAACTGTACTTACTTCATTGGACAAATACTATATAAATAATTTAACAAGTATCATTTAACAGTAATCTTATTTACAAAATATAAATCTATAATAATATTATAAAGAGGACAAATCTATATTTTTGTATGTAATGAAATAACTCAATAACTATTGGCCCGATTCCAAAAAATCCTTCATTTTTAAAAAGCTAAATACGTTATCAGTGAGAAATATAGGCTATTTCGCGAAATCGCGAGCAACGACTAGTTTATTATAACTTGAATTTAATTCATACACTTATAATGCTTCTTTATTTAGAGGATGATCTTCTGTTCTAAGATTTACCGACAACGAAGCCGAAAGTGCGTGCCCAAAAGAGCTGGTACTCGGCGGGAGATATGCTGAGAGCAAACTGCACTTCCCCACCCTCTGACCCACCCGCCAATGTCACTTGGCTTGTCAATGGATATGAGGTATATAATACCATTTATTCTAATCAATTTATGTATCGTATGTTCCAATATGTATACGTTTCATGCATAGTATAGGCTCTGCAAATATCTTTAAGATGGATTGTGTCTGTTAATATGCTCTTATGTTTTGAAAATAATATTTTTATTTACGTTTTGTTAAGTGAGCGGAAATGTATGAATAGTTATATTAGGATCTACAGTATGTTTGTTATTTTACTGTTTGTATTAACATCTTTCCTTTCCAATATGAGTCTTGACGTGACGACTTAGTAATTTTGGAGATATAATGTCTTAACGATGTTTTTTCTATTAGGTAAAAGGACTGGACATTCCAGTTATTGACACATATGAGCGCAGTAAGCCGACATTGAGCGAATCATCGCTCGAGGACGCCAACAGAATTATATTTAGTCCGTGGGACGCAATCTCAGGCTACGAGGAAGCGGTCACAGATAATGTAATAGACATACCTGGTAATATCGCAGAATTGCAAGGCGCTGCTGAAAGTAGTCGGAAAAATAAAACAGAAAGTACAATGCCCATATTCTCAAAATACGATGACAACAAATTTAATAATTCCGAAGATGAGAAGTGCAACAAAACATCTTCGTTTAGTCAACTTGTGATACGTGTGCAGCCGTCACATTTTCAAAAGGTTAAATTAAAATAACTTATTTAACAGTAGATTAGTCTTAGGAAAACGTTTATATACAATTTTTTACATCTAGTTCATACTGAGTTTCGATTCACGGCTCTGTAACAATCACTGTTCTCAATATTATATACGATTTGATATATCGCAATGACATCACGGCCTTTCTGGGAACACGTAGGGTGGCTAAGTCTAACACGTTTCTGAGAATTTTATTTCGAATACACTGTCTACTAAGCTCGATATATTTTTCTTTAATACCGATATTTATTAACAGATTTTCTTGCTTATTGTAATATAACCATTGTTTTGAACAGGGCCGCCTTAATGTAACTTGTGTGGCGCGGATACTGTCGGTGTGGACGGCGAGTGAGATTCTTCTTCTGGATGAGGAGAGACCTCAAATCGCTCCAGTTATGGGGAGCCGGGACTCCAGTTCAGGAGGTGAATTATCTTAATTCTTACTTATATTACATGCTAAAGTTGGGAAGGTTGTTTTGTTAGAGTTTGAAGGGTAAAGGGCTGAATGGATCTGGAAGACATTTCGCATAGATGTAAATGATAGTCAGGAAGAATACATAGGTTACTTACTTTTGTTATTTTTTTATTATCACGGAAGGAGTCGCAAGAAAGCCAGTATTTAAATGATTATGTTTTAAAAATTACAATATACACAATATCCTATATTGTAATAAAGCATTACTGTTACTTTTCTAGATTCATGTTTCTTTGTTTTCTTATTGAAAGCCAAAGGTACCTTACTCAATTTTGTAGATAGTTTTTAATGTTACTTTTTTTAAACACAATTAAATTTATTACTGCAATTTACCACTTTAATAAAATATCAACGTTTCTATGTTAAGCCATAAATGAAGTAGCTTATATGACGGCAATATTTCTCGCTAAGCTTACCTGAGGAAAATAAAATAACGCACGGGGAAGAGATAAATGGACGTTAATAAACTACATAGCAACATTTTTTTTTAATCTTAGGTAGTGTTTGAGCTAAGCTTTAAGTAGGATTATCCTTAATTCGGTAAATATTGAAACGGTTTATTATAAATTCGAAGAAACCAATTTGAACTTTATTAATTCGAATTTCTTTACAGGATTTCGACACACATTAAGGATTAACAGTGGAGTCTTATACGTGTTAAATTGTATATTATACATGCAATGGTAAGAATCTTTATTTTTTGAGGCTTTTTGCAAATGTTAATCGAAACAAAAAGGAGGACCTTGACTATGTCATTTACTTCCTTGTTAGATCTTACATCATGATCTACATTGCCGTAACTGTTATTTTTCAATCTTTGTTTTGTAAAATAGGCTAAAGATGAATTATTAAAATAAAATGTTTTTGTTCGCAGGTCAATACGATGATCCGTAGCAGTGGATGATACATGATTATAAATCTTTGTACCACTTTTTTCATAGTGAAATTGATGTTCGTATTCGAATGTTCGCGTAAACGGATAAAAGAAATATTTTGTAAAAAAAAACGATTATTGTAAATTTACCCAACATTTAACTCAACTAGACATGTGTGATTGACTGCGTTATAGATTAAAAAATACTATCAATACAATGGAATAGTGAATTTTTTACTTGTGTAAATAATATTTTATGTTAAACTAGTTTTATTTAATTATAGCGTGTCTTCAGATTTGTCTTAATAATTGTAACGAAGTATATTAATAAATGAAGTTCTTCTTTGTAGTATGATTTTTATTGTATATTCAATATCCAGCGACTTAGGATTTTACTCGCTGACGTCACCTATGCCACGATGCAGATCTGACTTAGAAAAAAACAAACGTCATACATCGGTAAAATATTGAAAATAAAGCCACTGAGGACACAGAAGGTCACCATAATTAGCAGTGCAAAACAAAAATTTTTTTATGTTCTACAAAGAATTTTACAATCAGGAATGTTTGTCCTAAACTTCGTCGATACGTCACAAATAGCAACGACTAATATATTCTACTCCATTGCGGAATGCACAGTGACATATACTTGCGTACAATACTGCAATACGAGAACCTCCGATATGCAATAAAGGAGAAACGTTGCGCTTTAAACACGATTGCCCCATATTAAAATGGCAACCGGGGAGTTTAATCGTTCGATTCGTGCCTCACCGAAATGTGTCCGATAAATACACCAATTTGCACATCGAATATGAGGAAACATCTAAAATTGTTAACAAAACTTTCCTACTGATTTCTATCTAAGGAACATTACAACTGAACTACTATCCCTATAATTTTTATGTTTATTTTGGAGACCAGTGAAATAATAAGGTCTTGAATATGTTTAGAATTCTTTCACAATAACATGTCATAATAATAATTGTACAATACTAATTAAACTTGCAACTAAGAAAGAAAAGAGGTTTATCTACTTTTATATTTATATATAAATATATTGGGTTTTTATTTATTATAAATAAATGTACCAATATCAACATTATAATTTTTTTTAACACTATTCTTTGTATATTATGTAAAGGTGCAAACCTTTTCGTTCGTCCTTTAGTAACAAATGTCTGTTCAATTTACCGAAGTAATCCCCTAGAATAATTACTGTTTAAACAAATGGCAATGGTTTCTCGGGGGACCATCGTTTGTGCCGCGTTCCTCGTTAACGATTCCACGTTCAAAGGTTCATTCAGAACGGTTTACTTCAGTGCAAATAGCACGATGATTGCATATAAATGCACCTATAAATTACTTAACAGTGGATGCAAATATAAACAGGAGATTTGTATTTTTGTATGTTTTGAAATAACTCAAAAACTACTGAGCTGATTTTAAAAATTCTTACACCGTTAGAAAGGTCATCTATCAGTGAGTAACACAGGCTATATTTTTTTAACTTCATATGGACGAAGTCGCGAGCAATCTTATAAATGCTAAAGTTTAGATGGATGGATGTTTATTAGAGTTTATCGCCTACATAACTGAACGCATTTTTATAAAATTTGGCACAAATGTAGAGCAGTCTGAAACACATAGCTACTTTCTTTTGTTTTTGAATTCCACGCGAAAGGAGTCGCAGGCTAAAGGTAGTATATTTACACGTTTAACCGCAAGTCCAGGTATTTGATAGGAGAAAAAAGAAAGGAAAGATTTCGTCGTTTTATCGACGACGACGTTTTATCGATGATAACGCATCTGCAACACACTATGTTATAACAAATGACTATGGGTAGAAGTCACGTCACATCAGATGACCGCATTTCTTGTTTTCCGTCTTCTTCATATATAAAAAATGGCACATCTATTTATTATTACTTAGTTTTGAAGTGGCAAAGTGCCAAATGCACTTAGCATAAACATCGAAATTACTAAGTTTAACTTAAGTGAAATGCATATTTTGACCTGTCATGTACGTTGAGATTCTTTAAAAAAAAAGTTACATAAACTCGTATTTGGATACGAAAGTAGAACATAACTAATTATCTTATTTATTTCATGAATTCAATGAAAAGTATGAGTAGTTTTTTACTTTTAGTTTAATTTTGGAAAAATTCTATTTATTCTGTTTACAAACAATAAATGAAATTTCTACTTTTGTTTAAAAATGTATTATTTTTACTATGATGAAATCTGACTTAGTCGTACGATAAATTTATTCAATTAAAAGTTTACTGAATTCCGTTTGAAAAGTTGTATTTTGTTTTCAGTCGAATAAAGTTTTGTTTATAGTACATAGTTTATTTAATATACTTTTCGATAGCTATATGCAAAATCTTTTTTGTTTTGCAACACAAGGATGTTATTAAAATTATTAGAGTATCTTTGTTTGTAAAAACAGATGCGTAATGACTTAACAGACAATTTTTGTGTCTGTTCCCATTCTATTTCCATCCCATCGATCGACCCAATGGGAAAATAATCGATTTAGTCCCTTCGCTCAACGCGTAAAATTCGTTATTCTATATGATTTAGTTAGGATAAGTACTGTTAAAAGCTATATAAATAATACAACTCTCCGCTTAACCGTGCTGCTCGAGCCATGTAGGAATATATGATTCTCCAGGTGTCTGAGATAACAGGCGTACGAGCGACAGGAGTTCGGATAACTTTATCTAGAGTCCTCGTATTCAAGCACGTGCACGCCATTTCAACACTTATAAGATGCGCTTGGATTGTGCTTGTGTCTCGAGAAAAGTAAATATAATAAACTAAGGTTATTTTTTTTAAATATACTCGTATGTACAAAAGAATTACGATGTTATGCCTTATTTATAAGTCCTACCTGACTAACATCACTCCTCCAAAAATGTCACAAAAATTGTACACTTTACCTGAAAACCAATTCGTCGAAAATTTCAATTTAGTTACTCGTATCTTCAAACAAAAGTAATTCCAGCGAAATGTTTAAAAACGCAAATACTCTTTGGCAGCCAGATTGGCCCTTATAGAACGTTTAAAATTCAGGGCAGGTTCGAGAGATTTATTTATTAATTGGTATTTCGTGCTGAACGGAAATCGGTCGACGTAAATTGCACTTAATTTGGCACTAGCTGTTTCAGGAAAAATGTTTTTACGTTAAAAATTCAGCGGAAAATTGTCATCATTTTATATTTTCTAAGAACTACAATATTTTATTAACAAATTAATTAAAGCCTTAATTTTTATTAATTCACATGTAAATATGAGTTTCTTTGTAATGCTATATATTACACATTATGTAAAGTAAATAAAGAAAAAGGTTAGCAATACAAAAATCCATAAGATAAAAACGGTAGCTTAATAACGAGAAAGTTCTTTACATTTCATCGCTCGAGATTTATCATCTTATAACAACTACTATTAAATCTTTGTAAAGAGAAATAGTAAGAATGGTCATTGAACTCAGGAGCTCAATCGAGCTGTTAATAGGGTGCCGACGTGACTTAACGACCATAGAGATCTATCGGCTATAGCGTAGACAAACGGCTTAACGTGGCAAAGACAGACACTTTTAAATTTCCTTTGTGACGAGGGCTATTTCACTTTTTATGATACAAAGGCACAGACGTATTATTGATTTGCTGACAAAGGCGAGCAGAAAAAAAAAACTAAAGAATGTCCTACCACTGGCTGATAGAGGCTCAGATAGCTTTAAAATGATCTCACTGTCAGATAAGGGAACAAAATCAGATGTTTTCATCACATATTTTACACGTTGGATTGTTATTAGATAATTTTCAATTTAGTGCGACAGGCCCTTAATTGTTATTAAAGAAACATTATACAAAAATATTTATCTATCTGGGTATTATTTTATAATTTTCAAAATACAAAATCATTGTGGTCAGCGTATAACAGTGTTAATGTACATTTTATTTAACGGATCCCCGGCTTAAAGCCTATAATGGCGCAGAATTGGCACATTGTAATTATTTCGTGTCAGTTTGAGTGAGATTAACGGAGCATGAATAAAATGGAATAAATTACCGTTTTTCTGTTTTAACTAGGATTACTGTTTAAGTTAACGTTCTTTATTTTATACTAACTATTGCCCATGATTTCTTCTACGAAATATTGAGAAAAAAAGTAGTTCATAATATGCCCGTCTATGTCAGCTACCCTTCAGTGAAAGTCCGGTCGAAATCGGCTCTGCCGTTTTGGTGATTACCGAAACAAACGCGGCTTGCGGACAGACAGACAGACAAAAAAAGTTAAATGCGATTTTTGTTATCAGCATGCAATTACATCCTTCCCTTAATCTGAAATTTTTCTATGCACAATCATTAGGCGCAATAATATGACGAAAAATACTTACGATCAAATTAATAAGAAATTGTGTCTCATATTTAAAAATCAATTTCCTTTACATCAGAATTATGAAGCACTTCTCTATACAATAAATAGTAGTCTTAACTATGTGTCACTTCAAATTCCTGTTTTCAGTTTGGTTAATTGCATGCACATCGCGGTGGCGGGACGCAAGTCGTAGCTTTTAATTTGTGACGTCAGACGACAAGCGCCGCGGCTACAGAGCTCCATGATATTATAATTAACTTATTGGATAGTTTCCGTATTTCATATTAATGGTAAGTTATGTATTTAATATATCAGAGTTATTTTATAATTTGTACTAATTAATAGAGAAATATCTTACTTGATATTCAAAGAATTATCGTTATGTTTAAATCTCTTAAAATCGCATAATTCTTTAAAAAAAGGGTACATAGTTTCTGCTTAATTTTTAATATAATAATTCATGAGTATAGGTGATGAAGATCTATTATATAACCTAGACACCCTAGCCTAGTACTTTGTAGCGTCTAAACCTATAGAGTCCTAACTATACGGCCCTTTAGTAGAGACGACATAAATTGGTCCACAAGTTTGTGGTAACAGAAACTTGATTTCAATTTCCAGTTG